ATGTAGTTTTAAATACATAAAACAAAATTAAAGTGACGTGGACAAAGTGTGGCCGCTCCCCAAAGTTTGGTTCTTTGTGTGTCACCTGCATGATGGCTGAAGGCCTGGTCTGTGCAAGATGCCATATGACTTGTCTGACTTGGGAAACGTGAGATTCAATCAGGTAAAGAACTCTGTTATCTGTCATCTCAGTGGACGTAGAAAAAGCACTTGACAAAATCCAACAACCATTCATGATGAAAACTCTCAGCAAACTAGGAATAGAGAAGAACTTCTTCAACTTGATAGAGAACATCTACAGAAAACTACAGCTAACATCAGACTTGTGGTGAAAAACTCAAAGCTTTCCTGCTAGGATCTGGAAGAAGGCAAGGATGTCTCCTGTCAACACGCTTTTCAAACTGTACTGGAAGTCCTCGCTAATGCAATAGGAGAGGAAAAGGAAATAAAAAGTTTACAGATGGGAAGAAAGAAATAAAACTGTCTTTGTTCACAGATGGACATGATCAACTATATAGAAATTCCAAAAGAATTAGCAAAAAACTCCCAGAGCTAATATGCAATCATAGCCAGTTTGCAGGATACAAGGTTAATATACAAAAGTCAATTGCTTTCCTATACACCAGCAATGAACAAGTGGAATTTGAAATTAACAACACAATACCATTTATGTTAGCACTCCCAAAAATGAAGTACTTAGATATGAATCCAACAAAATGTGTACAAGATCTATATGAGGAAAACTATGAAACTGTGAGGAAAGATGCCAAAGAACTAAATAAATGGGGGAATATTTCATGTTCATGAATAGGAAAACTCAATATTTTCAAAATATCATTTCTTTCCAATTTGATATGTAGATTTGATGAAACCCCAATCAAAATCCCAGCAAGTCATATTGACAAACTGATTCTAAAGCTCCGAGGGAGATGCAAAAGACCCGGAACAGCCACCGCAAGATTGAAGGAGAGCAAAGTCAGAGAACTGACACCACCTGCCTTCAAGATTTACTGTAAAGCTACAGCAATCAAGACAGTGTGGTATTGAGGAAAGAACAGGTAAATAGATCAACGGAACAGAATCGAGAGCCCAGAAATACATCCACAGGTCAACTGATCTTCGACAAAGGAGCAAAACCAATACAATGGAGCAAATACAATGGAGCTTTTTCAACAAACTGAGCTGGAACAACTGGACCTCTACATGCAAAAAAATGAATCTAGACACAGAACCTCCACCCTTCGTAAAAATTAACTCAAAACAGATCATAGGGGCCAGCCCCGTGGCCCACTGGTTAAGTTCACGTGCTCCACTTTGGCGCCCAGGGTTAGGCTGGTTCAGATCCTGGGTGCAGACATGGCACTGTTCATTAGGCCATGCCGAGGCAGTGTCCCACATGCTACAACTAAAATATACAACTATGTACTGAGGGGATTTGCGGAGAAAAATCAGAAAGAAAAAAAAAAAAGATTGGCCACAGTTGTTAGCTTGGGTGCCAATCTTTAAAAACGAAAAAACAAACAAAAAACAGATCATAGACCTAAATGTAAAATGCAAAACCATGGAACTCCTAGAAGATGACATAGGAGAAAACCTAGATGACCTTGGGTATGGCAGTGACTTTTTAGATACAGCACCAAAGGCACATGATTCATGAAAGAAAGAATTCATAAGTTGGACTTCAATACAATTAAAAACTTTTGCTCTGCAAAGGACAAAGCAAGAGAATAAGAAGACAAGCCACACACTGAGAGGAAATTTCTGCAAAAGGCACATCTGATAATGGGCTGTTATCTCAAATATACAAAGAACTCTTAAAACTCAACAATAAGAACATGAACAACCTGATTAAAGAGGGGCCAGCCCAGAGGTGTAGTGGTTAAGTTCATGTGCTCTCCTTCTTCAGCCCGGGGTTCGCAAGTTCAGATCCTGGGCGTGGACCTACACACCACGCATCAGGCCAAGCTGTGACAGTGTCCCAGATACAAAGTAGAGGAAGATGTTAGCTCAGGGCCACCCTTCCTCACCCCCCCCCACCCCAAGAAAAGGGACAAAAGATCTGAGCAGACATTTCACCAAAGAAGTTATGCAGATTTCAAGTAAACATGAAAAGACGTTCAACATCAAATGTCATTAGAGAAGTGCAAATTACAACAACAAGTAGATACCAGTACGCACCTGTTGAAACGTCCAAAACCTGGAACACTGTCGACACTGAGAATGTGGAACAATAGGAACTCTCATTCATTGCTGGTGGGAATGCAAAATGGTAGTCACTTCAGAAGACAGTTTAGCAGTTTCTTACAAAACTAAACATGCTCTTAAATCATATGATATGCCAATCGTGCTCCTACCAAATGAACTGAACTGAATCTACTAAATGAATCGAAAACTCACGTCCACACAAAATCCTGCATATGGGTGTTTATAGCAGCTTTATTCACAATTGCCCAAACTTGGAAGTAACCAAGACGTCCTTCAGTAGGTGATGGATAAATGAACTGTGGTGCATCCACACAATGATTATTCAGTGCTAAAAGGAAATAAGCTATCAAGTCATAGAAGACGTGGAGAAACCTTAAATGCTAATGAAAGAAGCCAATCTGAAAAGGCCGCATACTGTATAATTCCAGTGATATGACATTCTGGAAAGGGCGAAACTATGGAGTCAATAAAAAGATCAGTAGTTGTCAGAGATTAGAAGGAAGGAAAGGAGGAAATGGTGGAGCACAGAGGATTTTTAGGGCAGTGTAACTATTCTATATGATACTATAATGGTGGATGCTTGTCACTATACATTTGTCCAAACCCATAGAATGTACTAAACCAAGAGTAAACCCTAATGTGAACTGTGGACTTTGGGTGATAATGATGTGTCCGTGTAAGTTCATCAGTTGTAACAAATGTACCACCACGGGTCAGGATGTCAACAGTGGAGGAGCTTGTGCCTGTGTGAGAACAGGTTATGGGGAACTTGCTGTATTTTTTTGCACACTTTTGCTGTGAACCTAAAACTGCTCTAAAAAATAAATTTGATTAATTAAAAAAATACTATTTGGAATTTTAAAGCTCACATGGAATATCTAGTTACAGTGTATTAACCATGAATGTATGTAGTCATTTTACATGCGAGGGCAAATAAACTCTTTAACAAGAAATTATATTCCTGGCACAATATGCTGTATTTATATACAAAGACCTCACAACTTGTAAAATTTCAATATATGAGTTCAGTGACTAGTAAGAATGAATAAAAATGAAACTCCTGCAGTTAAACTAAGCAGTGGGATATCTATTTATACTTACTAATTCAAGGTCTCTGTACAGAAGGAAAATCATAAGCGGTAAGTGGTAAGCTGCAGACCATTCTGTGGATTCAGGCCTCGTGGTGGCTTAAAATTGCATTACAATTTGGTCTCAGCAGCTGCTGGGCTTGGATTATAGTCCAGTCGCCTGCTGAGGTAAGTCCCTGCCCGTTAGCCTCTGCAGCTGGCCCCAAGCTTTTGTTGTGCAGGTGTACTTAAAGGGGATGCACATTGGGAGGCACTTCAAAAAATAAAAAAAAGAATGTAAATATGGCAAGGAAAAGCCAAACCATGAAGGAGACTTAAAGAGAATAAGAGAGTAAATTGAGAGCCTGAGGGAAGGAAAAAAAATAATAGGAGAATAAGAAAGAAAGAAAGGTCTTAAGTAGCCAGAAGAAGTCTAAGTAGACCGATCCATCAGTAGAAAGCAGGTTAATTATTGGAAGGAAAAATAGAACAAAAAGCAAAGTAGGGATGTTGGAATTTGTGACAGTGAAGCGGCACGGCACCTCATCTACCCAGTAAGCTTGAAATCGTTGGCTGATCTGTTAGCCCCGTGCTTCTCAAGCAGGGCCGGTTTCACCCCCAGGGCATGTTTGGCAATGTCTGCAGACTTTGGTTGTTACAACTCAGGGTGGTACTGGTATCTAGTGGGTAAAGGCCAGGGATACTCCTATATACCCTAAGATGCACAAGACAGACTGCCCACCCCCCACCAAAAGAGTTCTCTGGACAAAGTGTCAAGAATGATGAGGTTGACACACTCTGCATTGGCCCATCATCAGCTCAAATTCCAGACTCCCGATGACTGTGCTGCAGTCCGTCCCACTGTTGTCTGACGCTTTATACGTGTTAGGTTGCATACATGTCAAGTTGATGGTCACACCCCATAAAAGAAATTAGAATTTGGCTAAGAGAGTTCATCCAGAGTAGAGAATCCTTTCCTTTATTCCTTCTTTTAGCAGGTGCTCAGTGAGGACCTGCTGTGTGCCTGTGATGCCAAACCTTGCTTCATTAGAGACAGAGAACAAATCGGGGTTGTCAGGGGCTCATGGTGGTGGAGGGGTAAGGGATGTGTGTGACTTTGGAGTCAGTACCAGAGATCTTTGTGATGGTAGACTAGCCCTTTGTGAGGATTGCAGTGGTGGTTACAGGAATCTCCACATGGGGTGAAGTGACAGAGCTGTACACACACAGTCCCACCATCGGTTTCCTGGTTCGGATATTGTACTAGAGTTGTGTAAGATATAACTGCTGGGGAACATTTGGGAAAGGGCACACGAGACCTCTCTGCACTATAGTCGCATCCTTCTGTGAATTTATACTTATTTCAGAATAAAAAGTTTAAAAAAAAGCAAATCTTAAAAGAAAAAAACAAGATTGGGCAAACAATTAGCGAAAGGTGTAATTTTAAACAGGATTGACAGGAATGGTCCACACACGCAGAACTCTATTCAGATTTATAAATGGAAAGAACTGAAAAGGCAACACACTCTTGCAGTATGGGGTTGAAAACTGGGAAGCCAAACACGGTTTTTATTAAAATTGACCTATTTGGATGCAGTGCCAATAAGAAATACATATGCCCTCTTGCAGCATCAAAATATTTCCATTTCAGTGGAAGACCTATATTGTCAAACTGTCACAATAAGTCATGTCGAATCTAACACTGTTTAATTGCATGTTTTGTTACAGGGACAAGCGGATCTTTTGAAATATGCTAAGAACGAGACTTTGGAGAACTTGAAACAAATCCACTTTGCTGCTGTTTCATGCGGGCTGAATAAACCAGGCACAGAAAATGCCGACGGTCAGAAGCCACGCCGGAGCCTGGAAGTCATCCCCGAAAAAGCAAACGACGAAACTGGAGAATGAGGGAACTTTCTAGAAATCATTATGGAGTTTATAACTCTAGGACCAATTGTAGTCAAATGGGACATTTGCTTTGCACTCACTATTGAAAATAATATTTGGGATTTTAAAGCACAACTGGAATAGCTAATTACAGTCTATTAAAACTGTGAATGTATGTAGCAATCCTACGTGTGAAGGCAAATAAACTCTTTAACAAGAAATTATATTCCTGGCCAAAATATGCTATATTTGTATACAAAGACATCATAACTCAGTTCCAGCGTGAACAAGAGACTATTCACTCTAGTTCCATTGAAAAACAAACGTTTTCCTGGCTGAAAACAACTTGTTAAGATGGAAATGGATTGTATTGTCAAATTAGTATTTATTGGAGAAAAACCTAATCTACGCATTTTACTTAATGTGTGATTGCCAGAGTCTCTGGGTTATAGATGATTTTGGTGGCATGCCTGCTGAGCCATAATTTCTAAGGAGAATGTGCGTGGACAGACTCCCTGAATCCCCAGGGACCTTGGAGAGCCATCGCATACAAGAGGAACGTGCAATTGGACTGAAGCGCCCAGCCGAGGACATACACTGGGTCTACACACGATGTAAAAGCAGCCAATCTGGAAGCAACACATTGTAAATAATTTTTCATTGTATGAAGTAGTGTTCACATTAAAAAGATGTTTTATGATATTTCTCCAATAGCAGTACATGCATTTAATGAAAGTTTAACTTAAAATTTCTACTTCAAAATATTCTACCCTTAAGAATAGCCAATTATTTGTTGAACAGCTTAGTCAAAATTAAGTTGCTTGTCCAGCTTTACAGTTTTGCTTTTGGTAAGTGTCCACACCTTTACATAATGGCAGCTGATGGTAACGCGAACCCAGACACGCCTTTCTGCTTCTCGGCTCGCCCTGTGGCGGTGCGCCTTCAGACAGGGCACACGCTGAGTCAGAGGCAGCTGGAGGGGCTGAAGCAGATGTAGCTTTCTATTGCCAGCTGCATTTTTAATCCAGGCTTTCATTTTCCAAATCAGCGTAACCTCATGGTATTTTTGAAAAGATACCGGACACTGCAGCCTAATTACTGCTTCTCCCAAACCAAAATCACTTTCAAATTTTGGAAGAGTGAAAGCTGTCTAAATCTTCAACAACCTCTTTTTGATTTGTCCATTTTCTTCCCATTGATCCAGGTATGTGAGCCAGATAAATATGCGTAATCTTCAACTTAGCCTGCCCTGGTAGTCCAGCTCTCACTGCCGTGGCCGGGGTTCTTCTCCCAGTTAGGGAACCACATCACCCATCTGTTGGTCGTCATACTATGGCAGCTTCGAATTGCTGTGATGTGGAAAGCTGTGCCACTGGTATTTCAAATACCAGTAGGCTCACCGATGGTGGACAGGTTTCAGTGGAGCTTCCAGACTAAGATAGACCAGGAAGAAGGACTTGGCCACCCACTTCTGAAAACATTGGCCATAAAACCCTGTGAATCGCAGCGGAGCATATGTCTGATATAGGGCCAATAAATAAGAGGATGGCGAAATAAGCCCGGGCAGGGTTCACTCTGCGGGACACAGGGTGCTGGGAGTCGGAATTGACTTGACAGCATTTAATCTTCAACTTGGTATCTCATTAATTATTTCCTTACAGTTAAAGAGTGCTCATAGTTGATATAGTTATCTCTGGTCAGACTCCTAAATATCCTCTTAAAAAACAATTCCTTTGTTCATTTCTTGTCGTTTGCATTCTGATAGTGTGCTTGAGTTAAGGTATGCATCTCCCCTGGCTGTTTGCTGGGTGTGATTCCAGTTAGAAGATGAAACCCATCTCTTACTTGAACACAGTACGGTTCCCTAACACACAGCCCCGAACAGCCAGCCCGTAGCTTAGGCTCTTAGCTCTGAAATGAACTCTACGTGGAAAAGAAAAAGAATAGAAAATAGCAAAGAATTAAAAGTAGATTTGTAGAACGAGAAATAAAGTGATGTGTAATTTAGATTACTGTTAGCGTTCTTTGAACTTAGCTGGCAAGTAAATAGCCATATTCAGTTTAAAGTGAGAATCCAGAAATCATGAAAAATAACTTTTAGAATATAATGAAATTGAAAAAATTGCTACATTTATAATAATGGCAGGCGTCATCTAATATGTGACTTGAATGATGAGAGCAAGGTGCATGTAATTTGTTGTTGTTCACAGTGGGTTGGCATCGGCGACGTTAGAACTGGAGGAGTCTGTGACATCATTCTGTCTGACACCTTCTTTTCTAGAGGCAGAAGTTGCAGACACGAACAATAACATGCGTTGTCCGATGTCACAAAGTCTGTCAGGGGTAGTGTTGGCACTGGCCCAGCCCAGGGTTCGCTCCACATTTCCTTGCTAAAAAATCACCCTTCAGTGGGCGCCCCTTCCTTCGATTAAGGTGAGGACCCAGATCAGCACAGCACACCTTCGCGGCTGGTTGAGCTATTCTCTTCGCTTTTCCACATTCAAATGGAAACGGAAAACATTTATCAAACAGGCTGGGGCCAGGATTATGATTTATGACCTTTGTGAACAGTTTTCTCTTGCAAAGGACTAACTGGCCCACCCTGGATCGAACCTGTGAAGGCCTCGTTATAACCCCTGCTACCACATCAAAGTGAGAGAGCTGCTCCTGGGTTCATAGGGCGTGGTGACAGTGAGGGCAACATGCTGGCTTCCTGCCGTCGCCTACATTCCTCAAATGGGGGCAGCATCCAGTTAACGTACTCATTGTAAATATAAAAAATGCCTTGCTAACTTGATTAACGTGTCTGTTAGTCACACTGTGCATCACTTCTAATTAGGGGACATGTCTGTATATGAAGTATATGCTAACGGCTGCTAAAGCTCAGCGGAGGACAATCAAAAGCTGGAGAAAAGTGCACAGTGACTATGGCAGACAGCTGGTCAGTGTGTCAGCTTTCCAGCACTCGTGTTAATGTCCTGACAAGTGTTGTCCTGTCCACGGAGTAGACCCCAGGCATCTCTGACACACTAAGGACCTTCTGCCTCCTCTTTGCACCTGCTTGTTATATCGATCCTCTCAGCTACTTAAGCCGTTGCAGGTGTTGGTCTATGCTTTTAGCAGCTATGGCTTCTGAAGAGGGGAGGCACGCCTCTAAACCCGCAATGCCTATCTCCTCCATCTTGGGGAGGCGGTGGCCCTGGAGCCAGGGCTGGGGGTAGGGTTCCTCTCAGGCTGGGTGTCCCACACGCTGGGGAGGATGCTATCCACCTGCATGGAGTAGGGCTTGTCAAGCAGTGGAAGGGGGAACTCCTCCAGCTTGTGGTCTTCATCATGTGGCCTCATTTAGCATATGGAATCTTTTGACTTTGTTGAATCTTTAATCAAGGGTTAAAAAAATTGATAAATGCAAATTTTAGTGCGGTCACAGCGTAGCTCTGCTGCACCCAGTGAGTGAGAATGCCCAAGCTGGACATGTCTCTCCACGATTTTCAGTGGGTGCTCGTGTCTGAGCTAATGTTTGATGTGAGCAGACATTTGCCATAAGTTGGAAGAATTTTCTACTCGTTATGCTTGACTGTGGAACTCTTTGTCGGGGATGCATGCTGAGGACTCTGTTCAAGGTACTTTGCATATGTCATTTCATCCTGTCAACAGCCAGCAAGATATTTATCCACTATTACAGGTGAAGAAATGATGACTTTAGCCAAGGTCACAGAGCACTCAAGCCAGGATTTGAACCCAGATCTTTCCTCCAAAGCCTGTGTGCCCAAACTCTGTATCTAGATACTCTTCTGAATTCCAAATACACGTTTCATCTCTAAACTACGTGGCGTAAAGAATAATGAGGTAATTGGCATTTTATTCTTTCATGCTGAATGTGAGCTCCCTAGAAGCCACTGAGATTTACTCACTCTAATTTTATTGAGCACATTTTAGGCTCCGGGATTTACCACAAACAAAAACAGACATGGTCCCAACCCCCATGGAGCTCACAGCCTAGTTGGGGGAAAGGGGGAGATGTTAATCCACACAATTACAACGATACAGGCATGGGTACAAACCATGGGAAGACGGGAGGTGTTCTTAACCTACCTTGCCTCTGGAACTTAAGGAGGATTAAAAAAGTGAAGGTGCTTCCCCTCACAGGATTCTTGTGAAGACTGGATAAGATGGTGTTTGTAAGGCACTAGGACCAGAGCCTGGCTTACAGGGGACTTATTGTATTACTACCATTAGTTCTTGAAAGGTGGGGCTGTGAGAGTGTAATGGGGGCCTCACCCTCCTGGGAAGATGGACTAAGCATCTACTGCTCTGAAATACAACCCCCAGAACTTGAAACGGTTATCTGTTATCTCTCGTGGTTCTATGGGTCGGTTGGGCTCACTTCATCGTTCTTGCTTGGGGTCTATTGTGCAGTTACTGGCAGATGTCGGCTGAGGCTGCTGCGGTCATCTGGCTGGGCTGGACATGTAAGATGGCTCAGTCACATTGCTGTTGGCAGCGGGCTCAGTTGGGCTGTTGACCAGAGCGTCTGCACCTGGTCTCTCCATGTGGCTTGGACTTCTTATAGCAGGGCACTGGGTTCCAAGAGGGGTCATCCCAAGTGTGAGCATTCCAGAAGCCCCATATGGAAGCTGCAAGTCTGCTTGAGGCTTCTTGAGCTTATCCTTGGAGTCCCATAACGTCGCTTTTGCTGCATTCTATTATCCCAGCAAGACGCAAAGTCTGTCCAGATTCAGGGGGATGGGGAAATCAACTCCTCCTCTTGGTGGGGGAGTAGCAAGGTCACATTGCAGAAGAGGAGATGGGATAGGAGATATTGCTAAGACTGTCTTTGGAAACTACAAGCTTCCACAGAAGTTTCCCTGAGAAACTAGTATTTGAGCTAAGACCCAAAGGCAAAAATGGGCAGGGGAGAGTGAAGCGATGCAGGCAATTTAGTCAGAGAACCTAGCATGTTGCAAAAGCCAGTGGTGGGAGGGAGGGTGGCATACCTGAGGACCTCAAAGAAGGACAGTGAGAGCAGAATGCAGAGAATGAAGGGAGAGGGTGTGGAGCCCATTGTGAAGGCTTCTGTACACCTCGTCAAGGATTTTGGTGTGTTTTCCTAAACCTTAGTGCCAAACATTTGGTTTTATTGTTTTTAATCCACCTTGAATGGGTTTTACTTAACCAAAAGAAATACATGCTCGTTGTTACCAAAAAGGTAAGATACTAAAGAATGTCAATTAAAAAGTGCATGTGCCACTCACTGCCCGTCTCCTGCTCCCAGTGGGAGACGGTGCGGCAGCTCCTCCTTACGTGAGATGCTCAGATGCCACCAACAAATGCCCTTCGCCACTCTCTGAGAAGTTCTGACTTACTGCCAAGAAGAGGTGTGACTCTCTTTAAGGATCGCAGAAATCCAAGAACTGAGTATTCAAGAAGTAAAGCTCTGTGGCCTGGAAGGTGATGAATACCCATTCCATTCTATGAAAAAGAGTAATTTTATGTTTTCTCAAAGCCACAGATGTTAAGTAGAAAATAGAGATTAACAACTTAACAACATATGTTTCAATATGACTATTAGAATTCATAAGAACAAATATTTCTCCTCTAAAAATATTTTTTACTCTAAGCCAAAAATCATAAAAATTCTTTGGGAATGAAGTGTTATGGCCATTGAGATGACAGGTTGAGGTGAGCATTCTGGACATACAAGAAAATAG